TTCCTGACATTTGCGGGGGGGGGGGGGGATTTGTACTGTCCTGGCCTTTTCAAACTTTTTGCCCGGGGTTCCTCGAAGATGAAAAAGGTTGAGGACCACGGGCCTAACGCATACCCCCCAGTATTGAGGGACCGGGGACCTGAACGCTGCTGTGCTCAGGCAGCATTAGGGGCCCCGTCACACCCGCCTCTCCCACAATCCCTCCGGAGCTCCCAGATATCAGTGGTCCCCATTGTGTGTATACCTCGGGTTCTGTACATATACACATCAGTCATTCAGAGGAGGTATATATAAATATGCAAGAAATGATGCAAGTCTCCTAAAGTTTATCTAAACCCAAAAAAACAAAAATGTATCATATTGCAGCTTACCAATCCCCACAGGTGGTGGCTGCATTAGTTTTCTTTTTTTTTTAAGTTTTTCCCCCCTTTATTTTCACCTGGTGATCCTGCCAGAAAGTCTGTTATTTTTCAGCTTTCTTTACCAGACCAGCGAAAGTGTCAGTTAGAGGGTTGAGACAAACCATTTAGCACTGACAGGGGTGCTTACAATGATCAGCTTTTATTTATTTATCCCAAATGGAAAAAAAAATCGTCTTATAAAGTGTGAGCTGAGGGGTTCAGTTTTCATTGGTTAGGCTAGGTTTAGACATCGCAGCGCCTGGATCTGCGTTCCAGAGGCATTTAATGACAGGCAGTGAGGAGGGGATGCCAACTCATCGCCTGTTTTAACCCCTTAAATGCTGCACAAACACGCCACAACTGCATGCACTGCACACGGCTGCGAGGTGGATGGATGTAGCGGGTCCCCGTCAACTGGAATTGATTGCGTTTGGTGACAGTACTGCTCGCCAAATGCGACAAGCATCATGGCATTGGCATATGAACACCCTGGTCCATGGGCCTTGCAACTTAATGGGGCAGTAAAAAACAGGCCTCAATGGTGTGTTTTTACCATCCCCAACCGCAAGTCCCTTTGTCAAGTTCATTCAAGAACTTGTTTAAAAAGTAGTGGGGTGTTTTTACCGCTCCCCTAAAAGCTGCAAAGGCAGCAGACTGTGTGTTCACATGCTGCAGGGAAGATGCTTTGCTTTGCGTCCGCATCAAAAATCTCCCGGTCGCGTTTGGAGGGAAAACCACCCATTCAAGTCAACAAGAACGCGCCGCAACTGCCCTACAACTGCGCGCAATGTGCGTGGTTGCGGAGCACGGTTGGGCATTCACAGGGTTAAGATAGCAGGTGAGAAGTCGTTGTATCGCAAAACTTATGCAGGCCATACATGGGTCGAATTCCAAACGTTTTTTCATCCGAAAATCGGAAACGCCGTTCGCTCGGTAATCCGATGGCGCCATCATTGATTTTGAAAATCGGCCGACCGAGTCATAAAGTTCACCCCATATAACAGGCGAAACTTCTGTTCCCTCCAGGTCACGGCTCGCGCGCATATTCTTTTTGGAAAAACGATCGTACGATTTGACCATCATTGAGTCGGAAATCGGTCATTTTCATGCATTTTCCAACATGTCCAATCACCGAAAAAAGGGGAGGAGCCACGAAAATCGGCCGGTGCCAATCACCCACTAACAGAGTGAATATCGGCCGATTATTCTTAGGTCCGATTTTCGGACTTAAAACTTGGTCGATTTTCGACCCATGTATGGCCGGCCTTAGCCTGAGTCTGCTCGTCCATCTAAGTCTAGGTTCATACCTATGCAAGTTGCGTTTGAGCCATTTCTGCGTTGCGTTTTTGATGCGTTTTTCATGTTTTTTTTCTTGTTGCTAGGCAGATTTAAAACGCAAAAAAACACCCTACATGCTTTTCTGCAGCGTCTATAGAACCAAAATCGCAACTTTTTGCGTTCAAAAAAAAAGTCCCCGCCCCTTTCCAAAACACGCAGCGGGTGAAAACGCGGAGATGTGAACGTGTCCCATAGGAGATCATGGTACATGGACTGTACTGCGTTTCTGCAAAACGCGGCAGAAAACGCTTAGGTGTGAACTTAGGTGGCCATAAGTGATCGATTTTTTTTTTTCTGACTGATCTCTCCTGATAAGAATAATCGATCTATAGCTGACAATCCATACAATCGATATGTCACACACAGGGAAGTGACTTTTGTCGATAATCAGAAGATACAATTGGAAGCAGGGGCGGACTGACCATTCGTGCACTCGGACACTGCCTGAGGGCCCGGGGTCAGTAGGGGGCCCCATGAGATGCCCCTGGTACCTTTCATAGGCTTTTTTGGGTGTGGTTTGAGTGTGGGTGAGGACACAGGGGCCCCATGATCCCCTATTGCCCGGGGGCCCCATGAGTTGTCAGCTATCAGTTGCAACACTATTTCCGCTCTGCAATCCCATAATCCAATCGATTGAAATCTGATCGAATTTGTGACCAAAACATCACAGTGCTGCTAATCAATGCAAAAGGGTTAATAATCTCCCATCCTGGCCGATTAACTCAGTTTGATCGAATCTGATCTAATTCTGATCGATTGATCAGAAGGGAAGTGATGGCTATTCAATTGTTTTGATGACTCAATCATTTTGATCAATCGCAACTGGGACAATGAAATCGAAGCGCATATGACAACCATCACACTTCCCCCCCCCAACGGGGGGACAATGCGAATGTCCGAGGGTGGCTACGCTGCTCCTCCAATCATAAAACGGTGTTGTCACCCCAAGGGCAGACTGACAACTCATGGGGCCCACGGGCAGTTGGGGATCATGGGGCCCTCGTGTCCTTGCCCACACTCAAAGCACACCCAAAAAAAGCCTATAAAAAAGGTACCAGGGGTGGAAAGACAACTCATGGGGCCCCTGGGCAATTGGGGTTAATGGGGCCCCTGTGTCCTTGCCCACACTCAAAGCACACCCAAAAAAAGCCTATAAAAAAGGTGCCAGGGGTGGAAAGACAACTCATGGGGCCCCTGGGCAATTGGGGATCATGGGGCCCCTGTGTCCTTGCCCACACTCAAAGCACACCCAAAAAAAAGCCTATAAAAAAGGTGCCAGGGGTGGAAAGACAACTCATGGGGCCCCTGGGCAATTGGGGATCATGGGGCCCCTGTGTCCTTGCCCACACTCAAAGCACACCCAAAAAAGCCTATAAAAAAGGTACCAGGAGCCCATGGGGCCCCCTACCGACCCCGGGCCCTCGGGCAGTGCCCGAGTGCTTGAATGGTCAGTCCGCCCGTGTCACCCTATAGCTGGCCATATAGTGGTAGAATTTCACGTGAAAATGTTTGTTTTTGAAACGTTCGTTTGATCTTGTGGGGGTCAAATCGACATTCGTTTTCGGCTATTGTGTGACGAAAAAATTCGAAGCAGCAGGATGGAGAATTGTCCTCGGATTTCTAACAATGTATCTGATTTTTGTTCATAAATTTACATTTTCATTCCAAAATTAAAAGCAAAATTAAAATTTTGAAGGGATTGGTATTCATCAAGCCTCTCTAGGCCAGGGGCGGCCTGACCATTCGGAAACCCGGGCACTGCCCGAGGGCCCGGGGTCAGTAAGGGGCCCCATGAGATGCCCCTGTTACCTTTCATAGGCTTTTTTGGGTGTTGTTTGAGTGTGGGCGAGGACACAGGGGCCCCATGATACCTGTGGGCCCCATGAGATGCCACTGGTACCTTTCATAGGCTTTTTTGGGTGTGGTTTGAGTGTGGGCGAGGACACAGGGGCCCCATGAACCCCTATTGCCCGGGGGCCCCATGAGATGCCACTGGTACCTTACATAGGCTTTTTTGGGTGTGGTTTGAGTGTTGGCAAGGACACAGGGGCCCCATGATCCCCTATTACCTGTGGCCCCATGAGATGCCACTGGTACCTTTCATAGGCTTTTTTGGGTGTGGTTTGAGTGTGGGCGAGGACACAGGGGCCCCATGAACCCCTATTACCTGGGGCCCCATGAGATGCCACTGGTACCTTTCATATGCTTTTTTGGGTGTGGTTTGTGGGGCGAGGACACAGGGGCCCCCATGATCCCCTATTGCCCGGGGGCCCTTGAGATGCCACTGGTACCTTTCATATGCTTTTTTGGGTGTGGTTTGAGTGTGGGCGAGGACACAGGGGCCCCATGATCCCCTATTGCCCGGGGACCCCATGAGATGCCACTGGTACCTTACATAGGCTTTTTTGGGTGTGGTTTGAGTGTGGGCGAGGACACAGGGGCCCCATGATCCCCTATTGCCCGGGGGCCCCTGAGATGCCACTGGTACCTTTCATATGCTTTTTTGGGTGTGGTTTGAGTGTGGGCGAGGACACAGGGGCCCCATGATCCCTATTGCCCGGGGGCCCCATGAGATGCCACTGGTACCTTACATAGGCTTTTTTTTGGGTGTGGTTTGAGTGTGGGCGAGGACCTAGGGGCCCCATGATCCCCTATTACCTGTGGGCCCCATGAGATGCCACTGGTACCTTACATATGCTTTTTTGGGTGTGGTTTGAGTGTGGGCGAGGACACAGGGGCCCCATGATCCCCTATTGCCCGGGGGCCCAATGAGATGCCACTGGTACCTTTCATACGCTTTTTTGGGTGTGGTTTGAGTGTGGGCAAGGACACAGGGGCCCCATGATCCCCTATTGCACAGGGGCCCCATGAGTTGTCAGTCCGCCCCTGCTCTAGGCGTTATGTAAAGGGATTTTCCGTAAGAACGTTCGTATGACAATCCACCAGCGTTCGGCCAGCTTTCGGCAGGAAGGGTGTTACTGGCAGGATCTCCAGGTGAGACTAAAGAAAAAAAAAATCCTTAAAAAAAAAAATGAGAAAACTAATGCAGCCACCACATCCAAGGATGGGTAAGCTGCAATATGACCTTTTTATTTTTTGGTTTAGATACGCTTTAAAATGTTTTCAGAATAAATCAGGCAATATAAAGCTCCCAGTCAGTTAGTGTATATATATGTATATGAATATATTCTCTGGTCACCCTGTATATATACCAGTCCATATGTATATACCAGTCTGTCAGGGTATATATTGACATTTTACCTCCTTCTCTCTCACATATAAATGAAATGTTTTTCCTTCAAATTTCATTTTTGTGGCATCGCTCCTGAAATAAAACAAAAATAAATAAAAATCACAAAGACTTTCACAGGGAGAGACAAAAACGACAGGACAAGACCAGTGCATTGTGGGAAGAGTGGGATGACGGCGGCCATGGAAGAGGGTCATCACAAAGGATCACATGATGGAGCGGAACCATACGAAGGGATACGAGGAGATACAATGAGATACAATGAGATACAATGAGATACAATGAGGTACAATGAGGTACGATCTGATACCATATGTTTGGCTGGATGTGGTGAATTCCTCCTACTTGTGTAACCTTCACATTGCTGCATGAGAGTGGGCTGTCATTACCTAATGGAAGAGCCCTGTGTGTGGACCAGGATCAGTCAACTTCTATTCTGTACATTTTTGGTGCAGTTAAATGTTTATGAACAAGTCCAGAAAAAGTATACAGTAGTTAATAGTATAGAGGAGCTTGGTTATGGCCCGAACCCATGAGGAAACTGTAAGTGCTGGTCCAATCCGCTGGGGGCAGAGAATACCCCACCCCTTCCCCCCATGCATGAAGGGACGGGGATGATATAATTGACCTAATATAGCCCCATGTCACCGACCTAATATGGCCCCATGTCACCGACCTAATATGGCCCCATGTCACCGACCTATGGCCCCATGTGTCACCGACCTAATATGGCCCCATGTCACCGACCTAACATGGCCCCATGTCACCGACCTAATACGGCCCCATGTCACCGACCTAATACGGCCCCATGTCACCGACCTAATATGGCCCCACACCGACCTAATATGGCCCCATGTCACCGACCTAATACGGCCCCATGTCACCGACCTAATACGGCCCCATGTCACCGACCTAATATGGCCCCATGTCACCGACCTAATACGGCCCCATGTCACGACCTAATATGGCCCCATGTCACCGACCTAATATGGCCCATGTCACCGATGTCACCGACCTAATATGGCCCCATGTCACCGACCTAATATTTCCCCATGTCACCGACCTAATACGGCCCCATGTCACCGACCTAATATGGCCCCATGTCACCGACCTAATATTTCCCCATGTCACCGACCTAATATGGCCCCATGTCACCGACCTAATATGGCCCCATGTCACCGACCTAATATGGCCCCATGTCACCGACCTAATACGGCCCCATGTCACCGACCTAATACGGCCCCATGTCACCGACCTAATACGGCCCCATGTCACCGACCTAATACGGCCCCATGTCACCGACCTAATATGGCCCCATGTCACCGACCTAATATGGCCCCATGTCACCGACCTAATATGGCCCCATATCACCGACCTAATATTTCCCCATGTCACCGACCTAATATGGCCCCATGTCACCGACCTAATATTTCCCATGTCACCGACCTAATATGTCACCCTAATATATCCCCATGTCACCGACCTAATATGTTGTCACCGACCTAATATGGCCCCATGTCACCGACCTAATATGGTCCCCCCCATGTCACCGACCTAATATGGCCCCATGTCACCGACCTAATATGGTCCCCATGTCACCGACCTAATATGGCCCCATGTCACCGACCTAATATGGCCCCATGTCACCGACCTAATACGGCCCCATGTCACCGACCTAATATGGCCCCATGTCACCGACCTAATATGGCCCCATGTCACCGACCTAATACGGCCCCATGTCACCGACCTAATATGGCCCCATGTCACCGACCTAATACGGCCCCATGTCACCGACCTAATATGTCACCGACCTAATACGGCCCCATGTCACCGACCTAATACGACCCCATGTCACCGACCTAATATGGCCCCCCATGTCACCGACCTAATATGACCCCATGTCACCGACCCCCATAATATGGCCCCATGTCACCGACCTAATATGTCCCCCATGTCACCGACCTAATATGGCCCCATGTCATTGGCCTAATATGGCATTATGTCATAGACCTAATACAGCCCTATGTAATTGATCTAATATGGCCCCATGTTACTGATTTAATATGGCCCCACGTCACAGACTTAATATGGCCCCAGGTTACTGACTTAATATGGCCCCATGTCACTGATTTAATATGGCCCCATCTCACCGACCTAATATGGCCCCATGTTACTGACCTAATATGGCCCCATGTCACCGACCTAATATGGCCCCATGTCATTGACTTAATATGGCCCATGTCACCGACCTAATATGGCCCCATGTCACCGACCTAATTGGGCCCCATGTCACCGACCTAATATGTCCCCATGTCACCGACCTAATATGGACCCCATGTCACCGACCTAATATGGCCCCATGTCACTGACCTAATATGTCCCCATGTCACCGACCTAATTTAGCCCCATGTCACCGACCTAATATGGCCCCATGTCACCGACCTAATACGGCCCCATGTCAGCGACCTAATACGGCCCCATGTCACCGACCTAATACGGCCCCATGTCACCGACCTAATATGGCCCCATGTCACCGACCTAATATGTCCCCATGTCACCGACCTAATATGGCCCCATGTCACCGACCTAATATGGCCCCATGCTACTGACTTAATATGGCCCCATGTCATTGACTTAATATGGCCCCACGTCACTGACCTATTATGGCCCCATGTCACTGACCTAATATGGCCCCATGGCACCGACCTAATATGGCCCCATGTCACTGACCTAATATGGCCCCACGTCACTGACCTAATATGGCCCCATGTCACTGACCTCATGGATCTATGTGGTCCTATTAAATCACTGATGTTATGAGCATCCCTGCCTCTTTGTGTATGTGGAGCTGCGGGGTGGGGAATGCCCGGCTGCAGCTGATTAGTCCGGCGCTGACAATTTCCTTCCGGGTTCAGGCTGAAGCTAAGCTCATTACTAGTTAATAACAGAAGTGGAAGAAGAGCGGAAGTGACTACAACGGCACAAATTGTAGAAAACATCTTCACTTTCAGACACAAATGCACCAAAAATGCTAAATTATGAACAAGGCCTAATATTAATCAATGGGAGAACCACTGAAAACTTGCCCAGCCAGTGAGTCGCACTCAGCAGTCTGTGAAGGTCACCCCAAAAATTGATGAATTACAGAACCGAGCTGTGGGGGGTCCTTGTGGGTGGATGGAGACCTAGGACCATGCACCATGTCTGCCCAGGAAGGAGTGAAAGAGGAGGATATGAAGACTGAGAAGGGTGTTGTTGGGGGCTGTGACATTGCTGTTGGAGTGACAGAGCCTAGGAAATGGTTGTGATTGGCTACGGACAGTCAAATCGTTCTCCACGAGTCTAACTACCTTTTCACATTTCACAGACAAACACCTAAGATGAACTTTATTGTAGATTATAGAGAAAGGCTAAAGTAGAATTGCAGGTTCAATAGGACTATAAACAGTTCATGTGGGCCAAACAAGCTACAATATATTGCCAAAAGTATTGGGTCACCTGCTATTCCACACACATGACCTTCATTGGCCTCCCAGTCTTAGTCCGTAGGGTTCAATATTGAGTTGGCCCCGCCCCTTCCCACACACATGACCTTTAATGTCCTCCCAGTCTTAGTCCGTAGGGTTCAATATTGAGTTGGCCCCGCCCTTTCCACACACATGACCTTTAATGGCCCCCAGTCTTAGTCCGTAGGGTTCAATATTGAGTTGGCCCCGCCCTTTGCAGCTATAACAGCTTCAACTCTTCTGGGAAGGCCGTCCACAAGGTTTAGGAGGGTGTCTATGGGAAGGTTGGACCATTCTTCCAGAAGCACATTTGTCAGGTCAGGCACTGATGTCGGGGGAGGAGGCCTGGCTCGCTGTCTCATCTCTAATTCATCCCAAAGGTGTTCTATGGGGTTGAGGTCAGGACTCTGTGCAGGTCAGTCAAGTTCCTCCACCCCAAACTGGCTCCTCCATGTCTTTATGGACCTTGCTTTGTGCACTGGTGTGCAGTCATGTTGGAACAGGAAGGGGCCATCCCCAAACTCCTCCCACAAAGTTGGGAGCATGAAATTGTCCAAAATGTTGCCTTAAGAGTTCCCTTCACTGGAATTAGGAGGCCAAGTCCAACCCCTGAAAACCCCCCACCATAATCCCCCCTTCACCAAACTTTACACTTGGCACAATGCAGTCAGGCAAGTACCGTTCTCCTGGCCACCGACATACCCAGACCCGTCCATCGGATTGCCAGACAGAGAAGCGTGATTGGTCACTCCAGAGAATACGTCTCCAATGCTCTAGAGTCCAGTGGCGGCGTGCTTTACACCACGGCATCCGACACTTTGCATAGCACTTGGTGATGGAAGGCTTGGATGCAGCTGCTCGGCCATGGAAACCCATTCCATGAAGCTCTCTACGCACTGTTGTTGGGCTCATCTGAAGGCCACACCAAGTTTGGAGGTCTTTAGCTATTGACTCTGCAGACAGTTGGTGACTTCTGTGCACTGTGCGCTTCAGCATGCGCTGACCCCGCCCTGTCATGTGACGTGGCCTACCACTTGGTGGCTGAGTGGCTGTTGTTCCCAGTTGCTTCCACTTTGTTATAAATCCCACTAACAGTTGGTCATGGAATATTTAGTAGCCAGGAAATGTCACGGATGGACTTATTGCCCAGGTGGCCACCTATCACGGGACCACGCTTGGAGTCACTGAGCTCCTAAGAGCGACCCATTCTTTCACCAATGTTTGTAGAAGCCGTCTGCATGCCTAGGGGCGTGATTGTATACACCTGTGTCCATGGAGGGGATTGGAACACCTGAATCACATGATTGGGAGGGGGGCCCCCATCCATTCATTGTCTCCTCTCATTCACCCATCCATGTCCCCCCCCCATCCATCCATGTCTCCCTCCCTCCATCCATCCATGTCTCCCCCCCCCCATCCATGTCTCCCCCCCTCCATCCATCCATGTCTCTTCCCCCTAATCCATTCATATCTCCCCTCTCCATCCATTCATGTCTCCCCCCCCCTCCATCCATTCATGTCTCCCCCACCCTTCATCCATTCATGTCTCCCACCCCTCCATCCATCCAT